GGTGCTGACAACACCAAGGTCCAGGGTTCAATCCCTGTACTGGCCAACTGCCAAAAAAAAATAAAAATGCTGGGTTTTGTTTGGGGTTGTGTTTAATCTGTAGATCACCTTGGGAAGAACTGACATCTTGACAATATTGAGTTTCCCTATCCACGAACGTGCAATATCTCCCCATTTATTTAGTTCTTTGATATCTTTCATCAGAGTTTTGTAGTTTTCCTCATATTGTACATATTTTGTTAGATTTACACCCAAGTATTTCTCTTTTTTTGGTGCTAATGTAAATGGTAATGTGTTCTTAATTTCAGGCTATTCTGCATTGTTTCTTTTCTGAAGGAAAAACTGTAAAAACTCTGACTCCCTTGGCTGGTGTGGAGCGAAGATCTGAGGGTCAGCACAGTAGCAGCCATTTGGGGAACATGTGGGGACAGCCTGAAGCTATGGGATGCAAGGTGGGGGCACTATAGGGAGACTGAAGACTAAGAGAAACCTCGTGAAGTCCTTGGTGTGATGGTTTGAACTGCTGGATCAAACTTTGCCTTGAAGGAATTCAACCTCTGGTCTGTTCTAGCAAATGAGTAATATTTTCCCTTTTGGGTTTACACCGTTTGAGTTGGGTTTTCTGTTACTTGAATGTGCAAGCCTCCTAACTACTACATTATCCCCTTTCTTTCTATCCTCTGAGCCTCAAATTCTGTCCCATCTCCTCCACGAAGCCACAGGAATCCCAGGAGTTGCTCCTCTGGCCTTACCTTCCAGCACAGTGAGGGACAGGGTCGGTGGGGGCACAGGACCGGGGGTCCCTCGGGGTCATCGCTGGTGGTACCTGCACAGTCCTCATAGAAGAGGTGCAGGTAAGAGCGGACTCCATACCACTTGCCATCCTCCACGTTGGGGCCACGGCTGCAGCCACAAGAACGATCACAGCTCAGCATCATGGATCCCCAGGGGGCTGGCGAGGTACAGCTGACAGAGGGAGGGGTCAGTGAGATCTGCCCATGGGGACCCCCACCCCCTCTGAATCTTTGTGCCCCACCCACTACGCTTCCCACTCTAGACACCCCACACTCATAGCACAGCATGGCCTTCTTGAATCCTAGCCCACCTTTCCTTAAGTACACTGTGAATGAGCCAGTGTACTGAAGTGCTTAACCAGGGCCTGGCAATCGTAGGTATCAATAAATGTGCGTGTTTATTACTCTGGAGGCCACCCAGTGACTGGAACTGTCGGCTCCAGAACCTGGCTGCCTGGATTAGAATGCCGGACCCAAGACTAAGGGCTGTGTGACCTTCGACAAGGACATTCACCCCTCTGAGCCTCAGTTTCCTCATCTGTAAAACAGGGCTAATCATTATACCTGTTTCATATAGTTATTGTGTCTGGTACTATGAAATGGTAGCTGTTGTGATTTTTACTGTAATTTCCTTCCTTCCTCCCTTCCTTCCTTTCTTTTTGGCAGCTGGCTGGGTTATAATTTCTTTGTTATTATTTTCATGCTGAACTTTTTGGGTTTCTGAGTTCCATGTCTGGAGTGAGAGATTCTTGTCCCCTCCCACCTCCTCAAAATCTCACTGCCTTTCAGGGCCCCTCCTGAGGTAATTGTCATTGCTGACACTTATCCAATCAGGTCAGAGTTACCAAGCTGCAAGGCCCTAAAAGGTCCCTTCCTAGGGTTGCCTCTCCACAACCTCCAAGTTCCAAGAAATTTTGATTCCACAGGAGGTGAAAGTCAGGGGCCCTCAGGATTGGGGGCTCTTAGGCTTAAGGGCTCTTAGATTTCCAGAGAAACCTACTTAAGAACTCTTCTCACAAAAGGGGACACTAAGATCTTGGGAATAGAAGGTACTTGTGTATCCACACACGGGTAGTGCTAAAACCAAAGCAAGGAGGCACTGGGGAAGGACTAGGCCTCTGCCTCCGCCCCCCCCCCATGATGGGTCAGTAGCTTCAAACGAAGTAAAACAATGTGCTTGTTTTGAAGGTAAGACAAATCTCTAGCTCCCTGTCACTGCCAATCAGATGTGGCCCTCAAATCCCTGTGTAGAAGACTCACCAGCACACACATACACACACAGCACAGGGAAACACGCAGACACACACACACAAACCACAGAGACATACCAGGACAGGCACACAGACACGCCACACAAACAGACGTGTAAACACACAGATATAGAGACACACGGATGTAGACACACACACACACACACACACACACACACACACACTGCTGCGAGTGCTTCTCGGAGACCTGTGGAACCATACAAGCGTGCAGGACTGCTGTCAATAAATGTCCACCCCTCTCATGGGAAAGAAGAGGAAACAAGTGAAAAATGAAAAAAACGTGACAAAGAATGGGAAAAGGCAGGGGCTGAAAGCGAAAGACTGACAGAGGAAGGGGGGGCAGAGGTCTGAAGGGCAGGAGCTCCCGCGAGGGGGCGGGGCCGGGCTCTGCGGAGGGCGTGGCCAGTGCGGTACCGCCCCCGCCTGAGGGGCCCGGGGGGCAGTCGGAGCCTCAGTGCAGCGACCATTGCTTAAAGACCCCAGGTGAGGGGCTGGGGAGGAGGCTCAGGGACCATTGGCCTGGATCCGCTCCTCCCCTCGAATTCACTGCTCCCTCCCTCTCCCCCATGTGGATATAACCACTCAATCCTGCTGATGCTCGAGTCGGAAGGTGACCTTGACAGTGCCTCCGCCTCCCACTTTAGAGTGGCAGCGAGGATGTCTAAGGAAGGAGACAGGAGTCTGAGGACCCTGCGTCATCCCCGGAGGAGGGTTGCCATGGGAACCGCTAGGGAGGCGTTCCTAGCCGCAGAGGGGAGGAGCCTGTGGGAAGGGAGCAGTAAGAGGAGGGGGCTGCGTTGTGCGAGGGGTGGAGACTGCGGCGGAAGAGGCGAGGGGAGGGAGGCGCACGCGAAGGTGACAGGCGAGGCCTGAGGATGGATCAGGCCTCTGCACGGCCTCACTCAGTTCTCCTTCCCAGACCCCCGGGCCCGCCCACTCCGGCGTCCGGCGCTGCCCCGGCGGGAGGAAGGGGAGCCCTCCTGGGGGGTTGGCCAGGGAAACCAGGCCATTTCCCCTCCCGCCCCCCTCCATCCCCACCGCACCCGTCTTTCTGACCGGACCCCCGTCCCCTTGTCGAGATTAACTGCGTCCTTTCGCCTAGAGGGAAACTGAGGCAGAGAGGGTCGGAATGGATTTTTAGTGACCGGCGTGGGGGGGTCCTGTCCTTTGAAGCCTCTGCCCAGCCTATCCACCCTGAGGTGTCAAGGGGAGATGGGGCTGATGCTGCCTCCGCCGCCTGCCACTTCCCCTGCACCTCACCTCCCGACCCGAGGCTCAGGCGCAGCCGTCCCGCCCCAGGGGGATTTGGGCAGAGGGTGGGGGTTCTCCGCAACCCAGGAGAGGGCGAGCGGGGCTCGGGCCGCGCGTGGAGCGGGGACTGAGCTCACCTCTCTGCCTGCTGTATCCGCCGAGCCAGCGAGCGGACAGGAGCGGGAGCGGAGCAAAAGCGGGTTCGGTTCGCGCCTGCGCCGCAGTCCGGGGCGGGGGTGATAAGGGGGCGGGAGGAGCAAGGGGACGCCGGCCAGTCTCAGGAGCTGGCTCTGCAGATGGCGGCCCCTGCGGCTCCCAGAACCCCGGTCCCCTTCCAGGGTTCCCTTCTCTCTCTCAGACCTCAGGCCCCTCACAGAGACCCCATCCCCTCCCTGGGCCCCAGTCCCGCAAACTTCTCACCGAGGCTCCCATCACTCCCTCAATTCCCCACTCCTCTCGCTGAAGACCCTTCCCCTCGCTGAGCCTTCTCCTCCTCACTGTATCTTCAGTCCCTTCTCTAGGTCTCCATCCCCCACAGAGAGCCCCCATCCCAGTATAGAAACCCGCCTCTCCTGCTGAGTCCCCACCCTCTTCACGGATTCCCATCTCTCTCTCTGAGCCCCCACCCATCACTGAGCTGCCCCACTCCCTCACTGGGTCCCTACAAGGAAGTCCTCTCCCCCTTGCATCAGGAGACCCTTATTGCTCACTGAAGCCCTCGCCCTCTTACTGAGTCCCCCATCCTCTCTCCATCCTCTTTTCCAAAGATGAGTTCCTGCCCCTTGCTAAGGATCAGTCCCCCGTACCTTAAAAGGCAGTTGGGGTGGGTAGGAGTTGGGAGAGAAGCGACTCACCCTTTCCCCTATGGAAGGAGCCAGTGAGACAGCCTCCCTTGTTCTCTCTCCAAACTTACCCCCAGTTCTGCCCTGGGGTGCGTGCCAGCTGCCCATGTTCCCAAAGAGTCAGCCTTTGCCAGGCAGTTGCACCTACTACAAGACTTGTCATGTGCTGTCAGCCTTGGTTTTATCCCATGTTTGCTCTGTGGTCTTGGGAAGGTCGTTGCACCTCTCTGAACTTCTTCAGGCACCATTGCACAAACATGCCTTCAGGCCTTGAGCATCCATTCTGTCTCTCCTTGTGCTAGGGGCTGGGGACACAGGAATGAGTGAGCTCTGCAAGATGGGCACTCATCTTTCTTGTTCACTGCTGTATTTCCAAGCTTGGCACTGAGTAGGCAGCTCAATAAATATTTACTGAACACAGACTAATAACAGTGGCAGACATGTGATGCTCATTATGTGCAAAGGGCTTGTTTAAGTGCCTTATAGGTACTACCTACTCATTTAATTGTGTGTGTGTGTGTGTGTGTGTGTGTGTGTGTGTGTGTAGGTGAGAGGTGGAAGGAACTCCTGTAGCTCAAAACCAGAGGCCTTGGTTTTGTGGTGACAGGAGATGAAACTGGAGAGGCAGGCAGAAGTGAGACCTTGCAGGGCCTCATAAGCCAAGGTAAGGAGTTTGGACTTCAACCCAAGAGTAGCGGGGAGTCATGGAAGGGTTGTAAAGAGGGGAGGGATGTGATCCGATTTGCACTCTGAAAAGATCCTCTGGCTGCCATCTAGGAGAACAAGAGGAAGGGCATAAGAGTGGCAGCAAGAGTCCAGGGTGGAGGCTCTAGATCAGAGAAAACCGTGTTTTGGCCAAGTGGATGCACAGAGAGATGAATTGGTTCAAGAGATGTTAGGGTTTAAAATGAACTACAGGAATAGCAAAGGTTGTCAACAATCTGAGGTGACTTTAAAACACAGCTGCAAATTCTTTAGCACACCTCTATGGAGAGGTGGGATCTGTGTACCCTCTCTGAATCTCAGGCAAAGGATGGCTGCTTCAACCCACAGATTACAGCGGAAGTGGCACTCTGACTTCCAAGACTAAGGCATAAAAGGACATGCAACTTCCACTGAAATTCTAGCTCCTGGAGCCCGGAGGCACCATGCAAGAAGCTTGTCAACCTTGAGGCTGCTATGCTGTGAGGAAGCCAAGACCACATGGAGAGGCCAAGTGAAGGCACCACAGTCTCAGCTGAGCTTAGCCTTCATGTCATCCCGGTTCAGGCAGCAGACTACTGAGGGAAGACGCAGCCAGATGATTCCCACCTTCAGCCATTCGAATCAGCCTTCACATCTTCAAGTCTTCCCAGCTGAAACCTCAAACGTTGTGGAGCAGAGAGAAGCCAGCCCTACCATGCCCTGCCTGAATTCCTGACACAGAACCCACAAGCATAATAAAATGGTCGCTGTGTTATACCACTAGGTTTGGGGGTCTTTGTTATGCACTAATAGATAACTGGAACACAACTTAATGTTCTATCAACGGAAGACAAGTTATACAAATTATAGTACATTTGTATCTACCTGTGGAATATTATGTAGCCATTTTTTAAAAAAGGAATTAGTTCTATAGTTATTGATATAAAACAGACTTCAAGGGCCAGCCCGTGGCTCACTTGGGAGAGTGTGGTGCTGACAACACCAAGTCAAGGGTTAAGGTGGTGTCATCAGCACCATGCTCTAACCAAGTGAGCTAACCTGCCAGCTCCTTCACTTTTCACCGTACGCCTCTGTATTGGTTATCTATTGCTTGTGTAAGAATCTAGGTGAGAGATAATGAAGGATTGAAGTGGGCAGGAGAAATGAAAAGGAGAGTGCAGGTCTGAACATTATCCACAAAATAAAGTTGGCATTACTTGGTGACTAGGAAGTGAGGGCAGTGTGAGAGAAAGGGAGAGAGGATGCAGAATGACTGTCATGCTTCCAGGTCGAGAGAGTGATGCTCTCATCAACAGAGATGGAGAGGGCCAGCCTGTGGCTCACTTGGGAGAGTGTGGTGCTGACAACACCAAGTCAAGGGTTAAGATCCCCTTAACAGTCATCCTTAAAAAAAAAAGAGAGAGAGAGATAGAAAATATAAGAGGTGGAGCCAAGCTGGGGAGAAGCTGATGCCCTTATCTTTTGGCAGAGCTGAATGGCACTGTCCAGGAGGTGGCTGGACATAAACATCTGGAGTCAGGGGCAAGGTCTTGGCCTTAGATACAGTGTAGGGAATTGACTAGTTGAACAAACAATAAGGGAATGTAAAAGCACACTAATTGAGAAGTCCAGGGACCTGTCCAGCTTCAGGCATGGCTTGATCCAGCTGTTCAGGAATCTTTCTCTTTATGTCTTGGCTCTGCTCTCCTCGGTGTGGCTTAACTGTCAGGCAGACTCTCCCCATATGGTGGCAAAATGGCCACCTCCTTCAAGTTTAACTATTGAGAAAAGAATTCCTATTTTCCTATAGTTTCAAAAGAGCCCTGACATTGATTTTCCTTGCCCCTAGTTGGTTAATGTGTGGTTTACTGAACCCATCAGTGTGCCTCTGATTGGCTTGGTTACTTGCTCACCCTTTGGAAGGAGTGGAGTGCTTAGTCCATAAGAAACTCTTGGATTGAGAGTGCTACTGAGGGCAGTTCCCTAAAGGGAAATTGAAATACTGTTACTGTAAGAAAGGGCAATGGATACAGAGCTGGCAAAAACCAATGGCATTGAGATAAAGGGAGCTCAGGTCAGAACTCTGAGGAACCCCTTTGCTATGGACTGAATGTATGTGTCCCTCCAAAATTCATATGTTGAAGTGCCAAGGTGATGGTATTTGGAGGTGGGGCCTTTGGGAGGGATTAGAGCCCTTATAAGAGGAGACCTGAGAGAGCTTGCTTCTCTCTCTGCCCTCCATCATTTGAGGCTACCAGAAAACAGCTGTCTGCAAACCATGAGGCAGGCCCTCACCTGCACACAGAATGGAATCTGCTGGCACCTTGACCTTGGACTTCCCAGCCTCCAGAACTGAGGAACAGATGTTGTTGTTTGAGCCCCTCAATCAGTGATAACTTATAGCAGCTCAAGCAGACTGACACCTCTGTGCCAGTTATCTGTGGCTGCATAACAAACCACTCCAAAAGCACTCATTTTTATCATCTTTCACTGGGTCAAAAATTTGGGAAGGGCTTACCTGGGTGGTTCTGCTTTGGGATCTCTTCTATAGTTGCAGTCAGACTATGGCTGGAGCCAGAGCAGCACGGAGCTGGAGCAGCTGGAGCTGGCTGGGCATCCCTGGCTCTTCATACAGTCCCAAAGCCTTTCCATGTGGCCTCTCTACATGAGGCAGTTTGGGTTTCTCACAGCATGGCAGCCTCAGGGTGGTGACTCTTTTTACACTGTGGCTCAGGACTCCAATGAGCCAGGTTGTGTTGCCTCAGAAGTCACCACAGGATCATACTACACTAGTCCATCAGTCGACCAGTCACTAAGGCTAGCCCAGATTCAAGGGGAAGGAACATAGATTCTGTCATTCAGTGGGAGGAGTGTTAAAGATTTATGGACATGTTTTAAAACTTCCACACCACATTGGAAGAGGTTGGGGAGGAGGAAGAACCAGAGAAGCATCCAAAGAGATGGTGGGTGGTGGTTGCAGGTGAGAATCTGGGGTGTGTACATTCTCATGCATGTGTGTGTTGGGGTAGGGGTGCATTGTGTCACAGAGACCAAAGGAACACATTTTCAAGGAGGGTCTGCTCAGCATTTTTAAATGCATTAGAGGCACATAGCAATACAACAAGTCTTAGATTTGGCAACAAGGGGGCCTTGGCCTGGAGGATTTAGGGTGTGGTGGGAGAGGAGGCCAGATTGTAATGGGTGGAGAGGCGATGGGGGACAGGGAAGTGAGGAGGTGGGGGCTCTCTGTGGAGTAGTTTGAAGAAAGTGTGTTTGTGTTAGGTGAGGAGAGGCTACACCATAGACAGAGCAAGAGGGGATTTGAGAGAGACTGATGATATTAGAGGGGGATGGATGAGTTCATGAAGGTGATGGGAAAGGATGAAGTCAAATGTACAGGGGGATGAGCCAGCCTTGAGCCAGCAAAGGCGAGATCCCGTATCCTCTGAGATCCTGGGAAAGAGAGGAAGATGGCCAGTAAGAAGAGATATAGTGCAGTGGTTGTGAGTTGAACTCCGGAGTCATATACAGGTTTGAAACTTGGTTCTGCCACTTGCTGCTTCCATGATTTAACCAGTCTGATCCTCAGTTTCCCTAACTGTAAAATGGAGATAATATAAGTTGCCTCTCAAAGGGTTGAAAAGAGTGAAATAAGATGTGTATATAAGGCACTTATCAAAGCACTTGGAACA